AGTTGTAAGGTGGGGAAAAGGATAGGAGAGGGTATCGGGGGACAGGTTGGGAGAGAGATGGAACCAGGATTCGGGACCAGGATATAGACCCCGTTCACATGAGCCATTGACACGTGGCACAACGCTGTTGACACCCGTGAATAACCAACTAGATCCCTTCTCCTCTTCTCCTCGTCTCCTCTTCTCCTCTTTTCCTCCCTCTGTTCCCCGACGTAGTTCATTGGTTGTCCAAAGTGCGCCACGTGTTCGACCAGCTCATGCAGATGGCCCCACCTCCCTTACCCCACTCTTCTCTTCACCTCTGCGTTCCCAATATCTCAATCTCTCGATTGTATCATCACCCGCTTCCCCTCCTCTCTCTCCCCTCAACAAATTAGTAGTAGTAACCAAACGCCAATTCTCTAGCACACAGACTTCTCTCCTCCTAGGTCAATCTCCGGGATTAATTGCCCTGTTCTTGTCTCGTCGCCTTCCGTTCCCCAGAGTTCCCCCGTTCTTGCAAAACAAAAGAAGAGATATTAAAAAAAAGGAATGAAATGATCCTGAAGTTCCCTGTCACAACTTTTTGAGGCCTGCTTCTTGTCTCCACTGCTCCTGGTCCGAGTCCTCCTTTCCCTCCTCCTCCTCCTCCTCCTCCTCCTCCTCCTCTTCGAGCAATCACTCTCCTCCTCCTCCTCCTCGTCGGGCAATCACTCTCTCCTCCTCCTCCTCCTCCTCCTCGAGCAATCACTCTCTCCTCCTCCTCCTCTTCCTCCTCCTCCTCCTCCTCCTCCTCGAGCAATCACTCTCTCCTCTCCCTCCTCCTCCTCCTCCTTAAACAATTACTCTCGTTCTTCTCCCCATCCTCCTTCACCAGTCGCTCCGCTTCTCCTCCTCCTATTCAGCCAATCACTGTCCTCCTCCTCCTCCTCCTCCTTTTGCAGCCACTTTGTTCCTCCTCGTCATCTATCGTAGGTTTTATTTTCCCACCCTGCATTTCGTGAATCGTCCTCGCTGTTGACGGATTTTGGGCAGGAAAGCAGATTGTGGGCACAAAGGAGAGTTATAATCGATGAACATGGACGAACGAAAGGTATTTTGGTTAGGAGAAAAAGCGGACTTAGTGGAGGAAGAGGAGGAGGAGAGGAGAAGGAGGAGAAAAACGAGAAAAAGGAGGAAGAGGAGGAGGAGGAGGAGAAAGAGCAGGATAACGAGCGAGCTATGATAAAAAAAAGAAAGGTATTCTGGTTAGGGGGAATAAATGACTTAGTGGGAAAAGAGGACTTAGTGGGGGACGAGAAGAGGAGGAGGAAGAGGAGGGGAAGAGGAGGAGGAAGAGGAGGCGGAGAACTATAAAGAACGTAAGAGAAGGATCATGGACGAGCTATGATCGAAAACAAGGGTAATCAAGTATGATTCATAAGCAAGGGGAGGAGGAGGAGGAGGAGGAGAAGGAGGAGGAGGAAGAGTAAGGAGAAAGAGAGCGAGGGAGAAGGGAAAGAAGTTAAAGGGGACACTTGAGGAGGAGAACAGGGCAAGGCAGAAGGACAATCCACATGACGAATGAGTACATCCCATGTTCTTTTTTTTCTTTTCTTTTTTCTTGACGCATCCCATGTGGGTGTGTGTACAAAGAAAAACATAAAAAACAGGTGAAGCATACATGGGGGGGGGAACAAGAGAACATGAAGAACAAAGGGAGAGACGCATAGCATATGTGGCTGCACAGTACACCCACCACAAAGGGAGAGATGCATAGCCTATGTGGCTGCACGGAACACCCACAAACTGCCGATATCCTGATGAGGCCGACCACTTCGACGACGATACCTCAAGGCCGTCGCCTTCAGAAAAAAGAGAGAGAGAGAGAGAGAGAAGGGGGGGGGGGTGAGAGAGAG